TATAATTCTGAAATTATATTCTGTAAACCCGTTTATTTGGTACAATTCTTTCTTTGGTATAATTCTGAAATTATATTCTGTAAACCCGTTTATTTGGTACAATTCTTTCTTTGGTATAATTCTGAAATTATATTCTGTAAACCCGTTTATTTGGTACAATTCTTTCTTTGGTATAATTCTGAAATTATATTCTGTAAACCCGTTTATTTGGTACAATTCTTTCTTTGGTATAATTCTGAAATTATAATCTGTAAACCCGTTTATTTGGTACAATTCTTTCTTTAGTATAATTCTGAAATTATATTCTGTAAACCCGTTTATTTGGTACAATTATATTCCCGCAGGCTTCATGGGACTTGAACGAAAACGAAATGAAACTGGAGAACTCCCTAGTGCAGATCGAATATATCAGTTGGCTTCCTGCGAGGCATCGGTTAGGTTAGGTCATCGGTTTGAAAGCGTTTAAATCGGAGGGAACTGTTGAATTGTATCTTCGTTGATATCAAAACCCAATCCATTGTTACCGTGACGTGTTATCTTACTACTGATTTAACATGTATATCAGATCGATGGTACTGGAAGGATTCAAATCTTATGGCAAACGAATCGAAATAAATGGTTTCGATAAGGAATTCAATGCGATTACGGGATTCAACGGCAGCGGAAAGTCGAACATTCTGGACGCGATATGCTTCGTTTTGGGAATTGCGAATCTCAGCCAGGTGAATTTTGTTTGTCTATCGCACGCGTGCATTTTACAGTTCATGAGAGACTTACTTCAAATTAATCTACTAAATTATGTAACTAACAACATTGTGTCTATTTAATACAGGTACGTGCCACTTCCTTGCAAGATTTGGTCTACAAGTCAGGCCAAGCAGGGATAAAGAAGGCCAGCGTTACGATAACTTTTGACAATCGTGACAGAGAATCGTCTCCCATGGGTTATGAGCAACACGAAGAGATTGTGATCACGAGACAGGATGGTGATCGGCGGTAAAAACAAGTACATGATCAACGGGACGAATGTACCAAATAAACGGGTTACAGATCTGTTCTGTTCCATTCAATTAAATGTGAACAATCCACACTTTTTAATCATGCAAGGTAGAATAACGAAAGTATTGAATATGAAACCGGTGGAGATTTTGTCTATGCTCGAAGAAGCAGCAGGGACAAAAATGTACGAGAAGAAGAAGCAATTGGCGCTAAACACCATAGAAAAAAAGGATAATAAATTAAAAGAAATAAATACTGTATATATTTTTTGTTGATACCATGTTTGGTACTTGTATCTTGATATCTTGATTTCCTGATATTCTATTCGCTGTATTTTAGATTTTGAAAGAAGACATTAGTCCAAAGTTGAACAAATTGAAAGAAGAGAGAACGAGATACGTAGAATTTCAAGGAATAGAAAGAGAACTTGAACACAGCAAACGAATTTATCTTGCGTGGAAGTATGTTGCTGCTTTCAATAATAGTCAGAAGATAGAAGAAAATGTCAAGATTGTACAAAGCAAGATAGATTCAAAATTAGAGAGCATAGCTGCTGGCGAAGAAGAGATCAAGAATATAGAAGCCAAGTATGCCGAATTGCTGATTAAAAAGGAAGCGGTATGGTTTCTTGTTTTTTGTTTTATTTCTTTAGTAACTCTGTAACATAGACAACTTATAACTTTATATATTATGTATTTCCAACAATATGCGTTCAATATGCCTGACAAGACTAAAAGAATATGTCTTCAACTTGTATCTATTGATATGCATCGTGCATCATTAGATGTATTAAATTTTCATTATATTTATCTAGCATATTATTTTGATAACAAAAAAAAAAAATATGACACTATTATACATAATAATATAATCTTCAATAATAGTATTGAATTTCCAATTAGTATAGATAATATTTAAAATATTACTATTTAATATCTATTAAATAATCTCTTAACAGGAAAAAGGTAGCGTGTTGGAATCTTTAGAGAAAGAGCTGCAAGAATATGAGAAGAAGCAATATAAATTATCAGCTGAAGTAAACAGTAATAAGGAAAATATTAAAACTCTGAAAAAAACATTGGAACAAATACAGATTAATATAACAGAAGAAAACAATGCACTCATCTTAAAGGAGAAGGAATTGGAGAAAGTTGGAGGGCTTTTTCATAATTTGAAAGAAATGTGTCGGAAAGATGTCGAGGCTCTATTAGATGCACAAGAGAAATATCAGAAGGTTAGTGCGGGTCTGCTGGAGAGTGAAGACGGTGAAAATGCAACATTGGAACAACAACTGATAAATGCCAAGCAAAGTGTGACGCAAGCGCAAACCGAGCTTAAACAATGTGAGATGACGCTAAATCACAATAGGCAACAGTTGAATAAAAAACAGAAAGACATGTATAGTACCGAGAATGAATATAAGAAATGTGACACGGATTCGGAAAAGAAAGAGAAAGAATTGAAGTGCTTGGAGAATGAAATGCAAAAGTTGAATTACAAGGATGGTTATTCGGAAGACTTGAAAAAGCAAAGAAGTAACTTGCTCGCAGAAATGAAGCCATTGCGTGAGAAACTAGATCAGTTTGAGTCAAGATATCCTCGCACGAGGTTCCAGTTTCAGAATCCTGAACCTAATTTTAATGCAAAATCTGTAAAAGGTGTCGTATGCAAATTGATTACGGTGAAAGATAAAAAAGCTGCGTACGCCTTGGAAGTTGCCGCGGGTGGAAAGGTAAAACTTTCTATAATTTATACTTTATTTTCATGAAAAATTTTAATTCATTAATATTAAATCTTTGAATGTAATTATGTTCCAGCTTTATAATGTGATAGTTGACACTGATACCACCAGCAAGAAAATTCTCCAACATGGGCAATTACAGCAACGAGTTACGATTATTCCACTCAATCGAGTCGCTGGTAAATTTATGGATCAACAAACAATCAGTTTGGCAGAAAGATTGGTTGGGAAAGAGAACGTTCAACCCGCTTTGTCTCTTATAGATTTTCCAGATGAGATTAGGCCGGCAATGACCTGGATATTCGGTCAAATATTTGTATGCAAAGATATGGAAACTGCCAAGAAAATAGCTTTCCACGAAAGGATTATGAAGAAGTGCGTTACTTTAGAAGGCGATCTTTTTGATCCAGTTGGTACGTTGTCCGGCGGTGCTCCAGCACAATCTGGATCAGTTCTATTGAAACTGGAAGAATTGAAAGAAATTCGGAATGAACTGAATCACAAAGAACAGCTATTGAGAGACATAGAAACTGCTTTATCAAATATTGTACAAACCGCGGAAAAGTATGCATCGTTGAAACAGAAACATGATCTGTTGACTTATGAAATTAGTATGATACGACAAAAATTGCAACAAACGAGTTACCATAAAATCAAGGAAGAGGTACGCATACACATATGTAATCTGTAAATGTTTTGTATGTGCATTTATATAAGTATAAATTGATAATCATATTTAAATACAAGCAACATGAGAATAAGCAAGAAATTTTTGCTCATATAGGTAAACTAGATGTCTAACTTTAAACTCTTCTTTGTACAATATATATATGTATATATATTTATTTTCAGGTGGATTCTCTGAATGCAGCTATTGAAGAGCTTACACAACGAATGGCTGCAGCAAAGAATTTAGAAAAGGAAAGTGCAAAACGTGCAAAAGACGTAGAAATTCAATTAAAGGATGCAGTAAATATTCATGAAAGACAGTTAAAGGACGCTGAGAATCAATTGAATATCTTAAAGAAAAAAGCGGAACAAAGTCGCAAGGAATGGCAAAAGAGAGAACAAGAGTCGGAAACGCTCGAATTGGAAATAAAAGAATTCAAGAAAAGCATTGAAAATGGTAATAAACAATTGCTTCAGGCAAATGAGGAAAGCAATATGTTTGAAGAAAAAGGAGAAGCTCTTCGGCGAGAATTGGAAGAAATCAAAGCTCGAGTTACAGAATTGCAGAATAATGTTAAAAAGCAAAAAGACATTATTAATCAGCAGAATAAAGATATACAAAGGTTGACAGCGAAAAAGGAAGATATTATTAAACAAAATAAAGATCAGGAATTGGACATTAAAAAATTGAATCATGAAATTAATGATATAAAAAAAAGTGCGGCGGAATGTAAGCAAAAAGTTTTGGAACTCACAAGAAAATATGAGTGGATCGAGCAAGAGAAATCTTACTTTGGAAAAAAAGGTATTTACAGAAGTAAACATTGCTCGATTATGTGATATATCATGTGTGTGTTGTATGCTTTTAGGTGGTATATATGATTTTGAAGTTAATAAACCGGAGGAAATGGAACACAAGGTACATTATCTACAAGAAATGCGTGAAAAATTAAGTCGCAATATAAATACGCGGGCAATCAATCTTCTTGATAAAGAAGAAGAACAATATAATGACACGTTAAAAAAGAAAAGAATAGTCGAGAATGATAAGAATAAAATTCTCGAGACGATTAAGCACTTGGATGAAAAGAAAAAAGAAACCTTACTTGTAGCTTGGAAACGGGTAATCATTCTTTGAAAAATTTGTTTCACATATATGTATAATTGTATACGTATAAATCTACCAAGTCCGAAATATATCAATTTTATATTTTATCAGGTTAATAGAGACTTCGGCTCCATATTTAGTACTTTATTACCAGGAGCCGCGGCCAAGTTACAACCCCCGGAGAACCAAACGATAACAGATGGTTTAGAAGTAAAAGTTGGATTCTCAGGTGTCTGGAAAGAGTCGTTAGTTGCACTTTCTCAGGCGGCGCGTCGGAAAATGCAACACAGCAACACACGAAAAAGGCCGGGATGGCCTCTCTCAGGTTTCTCTCTGCCGGAGATACAAAAGATACGTAGTAAATTTTTGGTCATTGATACTAGGCCGAAGGCCCATTATGAATGTTCAAAGATACAAAGGATTATAAATATTCCCCAAGATGAAATCAAGGAAGGGTAAGCGAGGCATTTTCCTGCGACCTTATGATTTTTTATCTTTCAATTCTATCGGGTCTCTCTTAATTTATATTAATTTTTTATGGTGGTTTTTGTTTGTAGGTTACTGGGTTGTCACTTTAGAAAATGTTTTCTTAATCGACCGGCAAGAGACGTAGACATTTTAGTCTTGCTAGACTGGAATACTACGCCACAGACTCTGGCACACTGTGTTCATGTGAAAATGTTGAAGGAATTTTTTGAGAAAGATGACCCCGGGATAAACCATAATAAAATTAAGATTTTGAACGGAGGATACAAACAATGGTTACAGGAATATCCAAAATGGACGACAAATGAATATATTAAAAGTGAAACTGAAAGTGATGAGTCGCAGCAGCAGCAGCCG